TATTCACAGCGCGGCTAATTTACTGGAATGAGTCACCCAGCAAATACTTTCCCATCACTGCAACACAGCTGCTATACAGAGCGGCTTGGGATTTGGTTTTTTTGTTGGTGGTTTTTTTTTTCCTTTGGCCTCATTCTGCTTAGGCAATGGTTTCTTATTGGAGCCAGGACCTTCAGAGGTGGTCCAGGAGGTTGAATCACTTGAATAGGATAATGAGGGCAAAATAGCTGTGTTGCTAAAAAGCCGGGGCTGCTTGCCTTGCTGCAAGCAGACAGGTCCATTTGTCCTCATCTCCTCTCCCGGAGGCCTGATCCTGGGTGTGACCTTCCGGAGTAACGGGGCTGTCAAGGCAGCTGCAGGGGTCACGGGACGAGCTGGCAGCAAAGCGTCTCATCGGGAAGCTGCGTGACCGCCGGCGGGAGTAGAGGTGAAGCTGGTGCTGGAGGGTCACCCGTGTTTAACGTGCTCTTGGAAAGGGATGCAAAAGCAAGAGCGCAGCTGCTGTGTTTGGGGAGACAGAGGGAGGCAGGGGGGGGTCCCTTTTCCTTTCCCTGAGCCAGGCGGTTTGAGGAAATACAAAATAAATGGAGCTGACCCCTGCACGAGCCTCCACCAAAGGGTCCGGCTGTTTGCCGTGAGAGGGGATCATGAGACGCTGGCAGTGGCACTCGAGTCCGGACCAGTTAGGCTGTACTGGTTCCCAGTGGGACGGTGGTGCTGCACCGGGGTCACACGGAGCCTGCGGTCCGCGCCAGGCAGCACCTCCCCGCCTTCGCGCGGAAGCTGCCCTGCGCTCATGGACCCGGGGGTGTCAAACAAGGCTAATGATGATTTCACAAATGAGAAGCATCTCCCGCTTCAGAGTAGCCAAAACAGCTGTGCCAATTTAAGGGATTTAAACATTTTCAGCTGCACAAAAACGTGGCAGAAAGCACTCTCTGCAGGGCCCGCTGGGAAGTGCTCATGAGAGGAAGGTTGCTCTGCCGGGAAAGCGATGGAAAACCCTTCCCTCTCTACGCTTGTCTGATAGACGGACAGGCAGCTGCGCAATTAGTCCACCCTCAATCCCTTCCCCTGCGACTCCCTATTATTTATGGCTCTGTCTGTCTCTGTCGCCTGCCTGGAGTCCTACCCGGGGCCGTGCCCACCTTCCCTTCCCCGAGAGGGTGACAGCTGGGGGGTCTTGCACGGCCCCTCCGCAGCAATCCATGCACCGGGTGTCCCCGGGACAGACAGCAGCGCCATGAACCAAGACCTGGCCGCCTTCCAGGCCTGGCTCTGCTCCTGTCCTGTTCCTTCCCCGCCTGCAAACTCAGGGTAACAACTCGAGAGGCATCTTGCAGCAGTGCAGGGAGGAGAGATGACAAAAGCACTTAGAAATCCTGGGATTGGAGTTGCCAGCGAAGAGCTGTGTATTATCAGCAGCAATTCTGCAAGCCTCTCCGAGCCGAGAAGAGGCTGTGACGCTGCCAAGAAATAACCATGGCACTCGCGTGGCCGGGGAGTCGCGGTTCTGTGTTTACCATCAATGCCACGGGTGTTAAACACGGACGCTTGGGGCAAGCACCCCGCCGCCCCTGCTTTGCAGCGAGGCTCACCCGAGCCAGGCCAGGACATCGTGGCTCTAGGCTTCCTGCCGGGGTGCTTGCTGCAAGCATTTTCTGAATATGCTCAGACCAAGGGGCAGGGAGGAGGGTGCTGGATGTCTGGAGGAGTCGAAGGAAATTTAAGTCACAAATTTTAAGACACATGAGGAAATTAAGAGTCGGAGTTTGCAAAGGTAGGCACACGTCTAATGCCTACGGGAATCAGCCAGAGCCAGGCACACCAATACCGCTAAAACTCTGGTCTCAATGAAAATCCCCGTCGAAGTTCTCACCACTCCCTAGAGACTTTGGGCTGCCGGCCGGAAAACACGGGAGAGCGCTCAGAAACCACTGAGGAGAGGACGTGGGGAAGCCCAGCTCCCAACCTAATTACCAGGGCTGGAACCGAGCCACGGCGCTGAGCGTAACGTCTGCCGATCCTCTGAAAGGGGCAGCGTGATTTTGCTGATCTCTACGCAGCCAAGATCTAACTCATGCCTTTTATTTCATCCTTTCCCAGCCTACTGCACTGCATGCACACGCGCGCACACGCTTCTTCATCCTTCCCTTTCCTGCAGAAATCCTTCATCCCAGGCACGGGAAAGGCCTTTGTACGAAGCCCGGCAACCACAGAGCCATGGTGGTTAACATGCACTGTGGGGCTCTTCTCTAGGATCTCTGATCAACGGAGACTTTCCAATTACCAGCCGCTGCACTAGGACAGCTGTCACGCCGCGTGAGTGACAGGTGTGCGGGACGGGGAAAAGCAGCGAGGACAGCGGTGAAGCTATAATCACACATTAAAGCGGGCCGGGCGGACCCTCCTCCTCCTGGCATGCCTGATGGTATGTTTGCCGCAGGCAGTGGGCTCTGGCAATGTAGTGAAGGGCAAAAAGACGGTGTAGGAGCTTCCAGCTGGAATTCATCTCTCTGGAAGAGGCCGGCCTGCCCTGTGCGCGGTCACTGCAAAGAGATCTTGCCAGTGCCGCAGACAATTCATAGATTCATAGATGTTAGGGTCGGAAGGGACCTCAGCAGATCATCGAGTCCGACCCC